CCCCGTGTTAAGGTCTTTAACTTTTCCCATATTAACGCATAAGCTCCTAAATTAATTTTAAAGGTAAAAGCCAGCCCCGCATTGGTGCTGTTCTCGTTACTTACCAAATCTTAACCATATTCTTTTAGAAAAATTATTGGATGATAATTTTTTACACAACTTCATATGTTATTTAATGAATAATTATTTTTAAACTATTAAGATTCATAATATTATATATATATCTACTTGTTTAATATTATATAAAATTATAAATTTATAATTATTTATGATATTATAACTATAATATTATCGATGAAAATTTTCTTTTCATAAATTTTCTTTTATTCAATAATTCATTGACCAACATTGAAGTCAAGTTCAAGACTTATAAATTGAGACTTTAATCTACATTGTCTCACAAAAAACTTGCTACGAAAAAAAAAAAGAGAGAAAAAAAAACATTTCCTAATAAATTAATAATTTCCATTGCTGAAAGAAAAAAGGAGAATTGACATTAAACTCGGAGATATTTGATTGTAGAAATTGGAAACAATATCCCAAAACTTAAATTTAATGACAGTGAAGGACCAAATTGCAAAAACACGAAAGAGAGAAGCGCTGCCGTTGGGATAAAATATTTGGATAACCAATTAACAAAACCTTAACTGTGCTGAGGTGGCAATTACGGTATTTTAGTCATCATCTTTATCCCCATTTCCGTTGCGCATCATCTGTCTCTGTATCTATATATGCATGTATATATTTACAGATGAAAGTCCTGAGATTTTCAATTGAAACGAAAATACTCTGCTGAATTCGTGTAGAGGAATCAGAATGCGGATAGAAGAGAACGACGGAGTGTCTGCTTCCCGGAATCATCTCGTCTTTGCTTACTATGTCACCGGTCATGGCTTCGGTCACGCCACTCGCGTCGTCGAGGTTCTGTTCTCTTTTTTTTTTTTTTTTTTTTCATTTTCCTGTGATTGTTTTTGAGATGATGTGGTGCTCGCGTGCTTCGTTTCCACGATCATTGGAATTTCAATGCGGTTTGTGTTGTCTGATGGCGAGGTCTAATTTGGTACTGATCGCAATAGGTCGTTCGCAACCTGATTTTGGCCGGACATGACGTCCACGTCGTCACCGGTGCACCGGACTTTGTTTTCACTTCTGAAATCCAATCCCCTCGGCTCTTCCTTCGCAAGGTATTTCTATTGGCCCCTTTCCTCGTCAAATTTCTGTACATTATTATTTTTCTGATTCTAACATTTAATCTGTATAAATGCTCAGCTAGTTTTGGACTGTGGAGCTGT